GTAGAGCTGAAAAGTTGTGGAGCAACTACGATCCCATATGTGGCAAATCGTTCTAGAAGGACAAGAACACTAACTTGTACATCAGCTGGCCCCCGCAAGTCACTGTATGAGCCACATCGCACTCACGAAAGCCAAGCCTAACCTCAGGGGACGGTAAGTTGGTACAGATCGGTCTGGGAGGATAAAACACTGACTTGTACATCGGCTGGCCCCCGCAAGTCATTGTATAGGCCACATCGCATTCAATAAGCCACTACGATTCTGAATGGAAGTATCCCACAAAGAGATTGATCACGGCGGAGACTTCATCTTTTTTAGACTTCGCTTTGACCACCCCAACAACATCGGCATTTTGCAATCTCGATACTGACCTTCGTGAGGCGACTGTGTTGATTGAAGAAAAATTTGCTCAACCAAACATTTAATCTTGTTCTTGTTAGGCTAGCCTTGAAAAACGCCGAACCTGTCATACATACTGCGCAATCCTGAAAATCGAATCCCGTCAAGGCCGACAAAGCTATTCCTAACTTGGTGGGCTAGGGGGTGGAAAGGAGTTAGCACATCTGCATGAGCACACTGGCTTATACTTTTTGAAAACAACCTTTCGAAAGAGACCACTTATTGCTGAGCGCTTCAACTTTTGCCGTGGTCATGGCTGGTTGCCAGACGCTCACAGACATCACGCTTGCACCTAGCTAGTTTTTCCTTGCTAATCGACTTGACATAATGTACCTCTTACACACTTCGATATGCTAGTTAGGTCCTGGTTAGAATGCTTGCCGTGACGGGATTTTGAAGACCTTTTTCACCGCCCTGATTTGACCAAGTGACTTCTGAGCCGACACTCGCTTTCCATTCCACAAGTATTTGAAGACACGTTCCGCGATCAAAGTGATCAGCAAAATGCCTCCGTGCATTTGGCATCCTTGTCCGCACTTGCAGAGAATATATTCACTTTCGTCACTTCGAAATGGTTGGAATAACGAGCTAGATAGACGCATGAGTTTTGCATCCGCTTGAACGCGTACTGTTACTCTGCCGCGCTTTGCAGCTGGAATTGGCGCATGTGTAAACATAGCGTGCGTGGAGTGTGTCGTTGCGCGTGAATTTCTACGGGAAACTGGCTTGATGTCAAATCCTCTGATTGGGCTTGCCCAACGCCGACAAACTAATCTAAGGCGCTCAATGCTAAGGTGGGGGGGGGGTCGTTCAGAGGGTTACCAAGGTTTTTCGCTTGCCTCTCTGCTGGGGTATTACTTATGGGCTAGTGGTTCATGACTGAGCACCCGTAATACTGATCGCGGAAATTGTCTCTATGAAAAAATGCGAAATGCGTTCGAAGTTCCCTGGACCTGTGAGGTTCCTCAAATGAACAAACTCTGTTGAAGACAATAGTCTTTACTAGCACTTCCGGACGTTTCTTGTCATAACTGCAAAATTCTGAGATGCGACCGATTTCAGTGGAATCATCACCAGTCTGTTCTTCACAAGGAATCGATTACCCTACCCTCTGCCATCTCAAACAACATGCCTGTCATACTCAGACTAACATAACTGTCAGATACTTTGGTGAATGCGGTCAGTAATATTTTCGTTGCTTTTTTTTGCTTTTGTGCCACATGCAAAAATATTGAGGTGTTGTGGCATGCAGAAGGCAGTAGCAGTAGACATCGACGCTTTTGCACGCTGATCGCATAGGCGTGAACAGGCCTAGAACTCTGCCTTCTTTATCGGATAACCTCTCATTTAGGATGGTCGAGGGTGGTGTCTCGCATCAGTGAAGAAGTCACATGGCTAGCGTCGGCCCTTTCCTATTAATAAGTAGCGCCCTCAGTTAAACACCGTTCAGTCAAGTTACAGCATCGTTAAGGGAAAATCCTACTGAAGGGGGAATTAACGGTTGGGGCAGGATCGTACTGAGACACGCCCATTTCAGGTATCCCGCTGACCTCACTGACCTTACATTACGGTGAAATGGTCTCAGATCGTTTCCCTCATTAGATCTGATGCCATTTCACTCCTTTCATTCCTCCCCTGCAACGAATAAAGACCGCATGTGGCGGGCCACCGTTGATTTGATTAGTTGTGGGATAGCTCTCGGCCAATTGTGACAAAACAGGTATTTTGGCTTCTTTCCAAGCAAGCTACTGTCCAGCGGGATCTCCAACTGAACAAGATTATAGTAAAGGTTTCACAATGCCACATTCACCCTGGTCTTTATGGGACGGACGTCTAAGCGGATGCATTGTGCTCTCTTATTGGTGTGGGCTCTCTTTCCTGTTTCAATGAAAAGGGAAAAAAAAATGCGATATAAAGGACAATGTAGGTCTTGCGTCTAATGATTAACTGTGAATGGTCCAGGACTGTGTCCATAACTTACAGGCAGCAGCGGCTAGGTAGCAACACCGGGATTTGTGAAGTTAGCACGGCTCCATTCAAAAGTTCCTGTTTCATTTCGATCCCCGTTTCCGTGCATAAGCGCATTTGACAAGACCAGATGCTGAATTACTTACCAATTTCACCTGCTCTCTTAACTGCGTCCATTTTCGGTCATGATGAGTGTGCAGTCGCACTGGGTACATCGCCATGACATACATGTAAGTTTCAGATCCATGTGCCGGTGTGAGCTGTGCTCGTGGTACGAGATGTAAACTTAGCTCAACCAGACGACCAGAATGTCGATGCAGTGAGCAGTGTGCGCTCAATTTCGAGCCAGTCTGTGCTGATAATGGACTGACGTGAGTGACGAGATCCTTACCCCTATTTCTTCCAAAAATTATGAAGCTATAGAGGAACTTGGCACTGAGAAATCTTTTTTCCTTAGAAGTATCACATCCGCCTGGTACGAGAACCCTAAGCAGCACATGAGGCATGATCGAACGCATTTTCGCGCGAGTGGATATACATCATTCGCACACAGCGGCTCAGTATATTCACAGAACAAATTTCAAGCAAGAACTGCAACCGTGGACAAACATGTACTGAAGTAACTTCCGGCGCAGTTTATCGACGGGGGGCATTTTGCTTTCCATAGATGTGTCGACCCATCTAGGTAGCGTTTTCTTGAGTTGACACGTTTTGGGATGGTGGCTAGACGATCTTGCTCCAGCTTCACAAGAGTTCACAAGTTTTACCAGAGTGAGATTTGTAAACCGGAACTAGGGAAGCAATGATAGTACAAAATGCCCCCCCGTCGACAAACAGCGCCGTAACTTCCGACAAGTGGAGTCTCAAAGACACATATCACGATTACCCAAAAGCTAGGATTCTCTCCGCTGATGAAGGGTGCTGGCCCGCAACCTCTGAGGTTGTACTATTTCTGCCACTCAAAAGCTTGTGGTACGGGGTGCGGCACGCTATTGCGGTAACCAGCAACAGTGCTCGACTACGTATAGTCTTGTTTTCGGCATGATGGGGCGTGTCAGCGAGGCTTAATTTGGTCGACCATCAGCCCATTCTCAACCAGTTGTTGAAGCGGGTAAGTGACAACAACTGGTTGAACGATATATGGTTTTGTCGCTCGCCGGATGAAAAGAAGAGAACACGCGGTTTTGCGGCGCAAACCATATCCTCTGACGACGCCCCTCATCGATCCGCCAGTGATCAGGCCGAAATACGACGTCTGGAACTCTACTCTTCTACCTGAGTAGACGTACTTTGTTGCGCTCCATCTGCACTGATCCAATTGCTTGTTAGCCACGCGTACGCAAGTCAGCAGCCGAATTCCACACAAAACTCATTCAATGCTGAAAGTTAACCAGGTCTTAATTAGGGGCTATTCTTGTGTGCTATATCTCGCTCCTCGCAATCGCGGAAAATGCCTTTGAAAGCAAGATTAGTGTCTATGTTTTTTCTAATTTCGATATTCACATTCACATTGTTTGTCTATACATGTCCGTTTTTTGTAGGTACACCAACGAATGTGTTATGAACGTAGCCGCCTGCAAAGAGGACATTCAGTTGTCGATTTATAGGAAGGGGAAATGTTCAGGTAATGTCAGACCTGATACTTTTGCACCTGGTATATGCCGAGAAGGGGTTGCAGTTGCAGATTACCATAATCCATGCGACGACCTGGAATGTTCGCATGGAGCCCGATGTCAGATCGCATCAAATGGAACAGCAAGTTGTGTATGTCCTCAAAAGTGTGCACAGGCTCTCACACCGGTTTGCGGAACGGTGAGTGTTACGATATACATTATTAAAGGCAGCTGACACAGCAGGGATAAACCCTTGAGACGAGTGGGATTAATACGCCTCGCAGTACGCGATTACGAGCCCTTGAGGAGGCGCTGCGTCGCGCCTTTTCCAAAGAAGATACCTTGTATGGTGCTATCGAGCTGCAACATACCGACCCGGACGCCCACCGCGCCCGCTCCGCCCACAAATGGACGGCTGTACCTGATGCTCGTATTGCTTCATTTGCTAAGTAAAATATGAAGCGAAGGGATTGGTATGAAGCGGCCGCAGCCGCGGCGCTGCGTGGATATATGAGTGCATACGGGCATCCGTCCCTACCGTAGCTGTTATTGGCAATATTCCTGTGGGGATACTCGTCCGACATTGCTTTCTGAATCATTAAGAGCGAAGACTTTTCTTCGCAGGTTTTT